GGGACGAGGGCTCAACCGCAGCCACAGGGCAGTGTTCAGGCTGGAGAGCAGCCCTCTTCTGGGCCACCCACACTTGTTTCCACATGACTTATTGGTGTCCCTTGGGGTGAAAGGGACAGAAACCCTGCTCAGATTAGCCTCTGTCCATAAGGCAATTTATTGGCTTCTAGTTGGGAAGGATTCTGGCATAGCTCATAATATCAAAAAGAGAGCTACCAAAAACAGTGCCTCAGGGACTGATTCCAGAGATTCAACAGCCCCAGCATGTTCTGTTTGTTTCAGCTTCTACGTATGTGTGTGCAGAGGGCTTCTTATGAGGTGAGTATGGCCACCTCATCAAAAAGAAAGAACTTCTTGAAATAACTCAGACAGAGAAAGACAAATACTGTATGTTATCACTTATATGTGGAATCTAAAAAATAAAACAAACAAATGAATATAACAAAAAGAAGCACACTCACAGATATAAAGAACAAACCAGTGGTTACCAGAGGGGAGAGGAAAGGAGGGGGAGGGGCAGGATAGGGGTAGGGGGTTAAGACGTACAAACTACTATGTATAAAATGTATATATAAAATATGTATGTATGTATGTATAAAATAAATAAGCTACAAGGATATATTGTACAGCACAGGGAATATAGCCAATATTTTATAATGACTTTAAATAGAGTATAATCTATAAAAATATTGAATCACTGTTGTACACCTGAAACTAATATAATATTGTAAATCAATTATACTTCAATTTTTAGAAAGAACTTCTTTATCCTAGAGTCAATATAGCAATCCCAGGGAAGGACTCTGATTGGATCTGATTGGGTCATATGCCCACACTGCAGTAGAGAGGAAGGTGGATAGGAAAGCTAGCTGGAAAGATGGTTGTCCACGACACCTTTTTCCCTTCCCAGGTTTGAATGATTTTGACAGCCCCAAGCTTGGATGACTCAGGAACATATTCTGTGAGCAAGAAGGGTTGGGGTTTCTCTGCATAATTCAAAAGCTTGGACTCTTCTAACTGGTACTGGAGTCACACTTAGTCTTACAGTGGCTTCCTATTCCTCTTTCAACCCTGAGACACACAGGGAAGAGAAATCTTTTTATTACTTTATAAACCATATTTTTTAGCTACTCTTCCACTCTATCCATCATAACACTGTCCAAGACAATGCAAAGTCTTACGATTGCTGGTATAATTCTGACTTTGTTCTTTTACTTGTTTTTAAGATGTCAACAGTGGAAAATGAAAGATACATTGGTAGGACAGCCTAACTGAGACTGGTTTGTCACTGAGTCTCGTGTATTTGAAATGGGTCATTCATTTTTAGTAAATGAGGATGATTCTCAGAAGTTGATTGATTTTATCAAAGGGTAGCATTAGATCTGCATGCAACTCTTGGTAGAATCTGCTCTCATTCTACAGTGAAAATATCAGAAGAAAGTGAGACCCTATATGAATAAGTCTGGCAATGTTGCAGGAAAAATCTCTTTATTGACATAGTGAAATACTCAAAATATAGTGAGTGTTAAGTGCAAAAGTGAGCTAGCGGTACACATCCATGTGTGCATATGCAAATACATAGTAAAACATGCCAAATTTAAACAGTGGTATCTCTGTGAGATGGGACTGTGGGTGGGTTTTGCTTTTTTCTTTATTTTTGCCTGGTTTTCTACACTGAGCGTGTACTATTTTTGTAATTGGAAACTTTTATTTGAGAAACATACAAATCTTTGACCACAAATCTACTCATGTTTTTGCAGAGCAGATAATGTGAAAAAAATAAGGTAAGACACTCCGGCTCCAGTTCAAAGCCAGCTACTCCCTGACCTTGGACAAATACCATCTTCCTTCTGGGTCTTACCTCTGTACAATGAGGGATTAAAGCAGATGATCTCCAAGGACTTGGTCATGTTTCAGTCTCCTACACTCTAAGTTATAAGAACATTGCAGTTTGGTTTGTTGGAAAAGCTATTATTTCATGTAGAGTGAGGGAGGCGACATCATTGCTGAACATGTATTTATTAAAAGTCACTTGGTAAAAAAAGAAAAGAGTTTGTTCTGAAATCTTTTATAGAGTTAGGTATTTTGTCATCTTCTAATATTTAAATTTTGGTGGCTGTTTACTTATTAATACTTATTTAAAAGTGAATTACTGTCACTATCTTATTTAATACCCAACTTTTATTAAGAAAATTCTCATTGAGTATGTGAGAGCTGGCCTCTATTGGCTGATGTACAAGAAGGAATTTATTGCAAAATTCACCTTTGGCCCGGGGGCTGGTGAAAAAGGAAAGATCCAGGCTGCCAAGTGCTCCCAGGCTCCCCCTCCTTCCCATTTCATTCAGTCAACAGGAGAGGTCATTCAGGAGTGAATGCATCCTTTGTGCCTGTGGGAAAGGAGCCAGTAGCTAGGCTTGAGAAAGGAGCAGTACCGGTCAGCCCCGCCTGCAGCCAAAAGGCTATATCCTCACTGACCAGCGTCCCAATGCCAGGCAGAACGAGACATTCTCAAATCCTCTACCCTGAGAGTAAGTCTGTCAGGTTCCACTGCTTGTATTAAATTCAGTACATTTGGTGAATGGGAATAAAAAGGGAAAAGATTTGAGATCTGAGACTTGCACTTGATGAATGCAAATGAAAATGTCCCTACCATCAAGCTATGTCTGACTTGGGCTGTAAGAGTGGGCCTTTATTGAGGCAGGACCCACTGCAGACTTGTTCCTTTCAACTTGTCCAAGGACTCCAGTAACTCAGCCAAGAAAAAGATGAGCTGCCAACACACTCCTTTCAATGCAACACACTGAGGCCTGCATCTTCCTATACAAACAGTGCCATCAACCGCGGTTACATTCCACAGTAGCCCGCAAAATTCAGTTTAATACCGCTGTTTGCATGGTATATTTGCCATGAAAGCCAGTATGAAATCCTTTTACTTTTATTTTTTTTTAATTTTTTGCCCCACCGCACGGCATGCGGGATCTTAGCTCCCCAACCAGAGATCAGAGCCGCGCCCACTGCAGTGGAAGCATGGAGTCTTAACCACTGGACCGCCAGGGAAGTCCATGCATTTTTATTTTATACACTATAGTTCAAGAAACCTATGGATTAACAAACTTTTGTAAGACTAGCCTAGGCATCTGACTTCTATAAATTTTTCTGAGTTTTTTTTGAGTAAATTTAGTTCTCACATTTGAGAAAATGTAATCCTAGTTCCCAACGAACATATAAATGAGCTTTAAGCAAATAAACTCTTTGTAATCTGGGAAATTACTGGGCTTTTTTAATGTTTTTTAAATTTTATCTTTATCTTATTTTTCCTTACTCAGCTTTTGTGCCTGAGTATATGATCATGATCTAATATCTGTCATGTTATCAGTAGTTTTTTTTCTATCACAAATGAGGTCTTTATTTGTCACCATTAAAAGTCTGATTTTTAAACAGATTCCTGGACTGGTGGCTCATGTCCATCAACTCGTTCAACTTTAGCACCTGTCTCGTCCCCAGTAGCTTTTCCAGAACTACTACCTTCACCATGTAGCTCCATGAGCTTTCCCAATTCAAACCTGGGCTTCTTCAGCATTTTTGCTTTTCTAACAAAGACATCATGGAGTGGATAAATAGATTGGCAGGCCTTTTCTATGTCTTTTCCAATGCTGTCTGGAATCAGTTTATTGACCACCTCTTTCAAGTCATTTGTCTGCACCTCTCGGGTCATGATTTCCATCATCTTCTTGCGGATCTGGCGGACCTGCTGGTGCTGGGCATAAGAGGTCTTCCGAATCTGAGTGTTGCGTTTTTTAGTAAAACCCACACAGAAGAGACGAAGCAAATAACCATCGGTAGTCTTGACATCAACGTGAGCTTCAATCATGGTCTGCCATTTTTTGACCATGAAGCACATTTTGTCACGGGTAAGATCCACGCCATGGAAATTAGGCAGTTTTTGCCCTGAACATCCTCAGTAATAAGCTTGAATTTTCTAAATGCATCTTCATCATTCTGCAGATCAGCAAAGCTCACTTCAAACACACGACCCTTGAGGCCACCAGATGCGATTTTGGTTCCTTGAGTTCTCGTGACTAGTGTTTTCCCAATATTTCTTATATTGAACATAGCTGGCGCTTTCACATCATACCAATCTTTCTTAGAAAATGGGTCAACCACTTCCTTCTTGGCTCCCTTTTTACCGCCTTTCGTAAGGCGCTTGTTCTTTCCGACCGCCATGGCGCTGCTCCGAGAGCCAAAAGGATGTTATCGGTATTAAAGAAGCCCCTGTAGGCTCATCAGGAGTCTGAGGATCCACAGTTCTCTCCCTGAGCTCTCCGTCTGTTGACTTAGATATCTTAGTTTGACTTAAGTTACCTTGGCAGAGACCACGTCTTTCTACTGCGAACCGCAGCAAGGATGAGGTCAGGCCTCAGCAATATTTCATAGTGAAAATAGCCGCAGCTTCTCTGACAGTCTGCAGGAGCTGGTCCCGCCGCTGAGCAATCCCACTGTGTCAGGCAGAAGCGGCTTGTAGCAGGACAAGGAGAGGGGTCTGCTCCACCTAGAAAGGTGCCCCTTATTCCAATATGATCTCAGTGTGAATCACCTGTGCAGTCTATTCCTATAGAAATGGGGGAGAGGTAGCCTCTGGGGCACTTTTTCTGCTGCTCAGATCCCGACAAACACCTAGAAGGAAAATGGAGGTTTTAGCGTATCTCTACCTGCTTTGCTCCCCCAGATAAGATCTCAGCAGGTCCCTCTCCTCAGAGGTGTCATTGAGGACCCAGACAGGGGCACACAGCCCGCCCGCCGATGAGGAGAACGATGGGCCAGGAAGCCACCAAGTGGTGTGAACAGAGAGGGGAGCGCACCTTCGCTTGGAGGGCGGGGAGGAGGGAACGTGAAGGGCGGCCCGAGCTGGCCCTTGAAGAGAAGCGGGCAGGGAACTAGACCAGCGGGACAAGACGGCGCCCATTCTTTTAACTCCTGGTTGCCAATCTCTTGTGTTTCAGAGGAAAGGCGGCCGGCACGTGAAAGGTGAAGACAGGAGCAAAGTCACGAGTAGGAGCGTCGGATTGGACACGGCCCTGTCACACCCTGCAGAGGGCTGGAGCCCGCCCGAGGCGCGCCTCCTCGCTCCTTCTCGAGAATGCTGGATGAAGGAGAAGAGGCCGGCCCAGCACAGCAGCTTCTCCGGGTTCAGCAACAGTGACAGTGTCCTGCGGGAAATAGATGATGGACAGTTTGACCAGGAAGATGGAGTAACTCAGGTCACTTGTATGTGAGCAAAGAAGGAACAGAGGCCTTGTAAATAATTATTAAAATAATTGCCAAGGGCTTCCCTGGTGGCGCAGTGGTTGAGAGTCCACCTGCCGATGCAGGGGACACGGGTTCGTGCCCTGGTCCAGGAAGATCCCACATGCCGCAGAGCGGCTAGGCCCATAAGCCATGGCCGCTGAGCCAGCATGTCCGGAGCCTGTGCTCCGCAACGAGAGAGGCCACGACAGTGAGAGGCCCACATAACGCAAAAAAAAAAAAAAAAAACAAAAAATAATTGCCAAGTTACTTTATTGTATTGCTTTATCTGCATTTATGGAATACTTTGAATTTTTCCAGACTCAGGCTTTCCTCTAATCTACGTAAACTTTGGCTCAACCTTCCAGGCAAGGAAGAATAACCAACATATTTGTAAATTTAGAATCATGTTTACAGTTTTCTCAACTAAAACATCTGTTTAAGCAGATGTCTTATGAGGTTATTAACCAATGTACTTCAGTGTCTCATGAATGTGTAAGGTATACTTTTCTTACAATTCCTGGTAAGACAACTAAATATCTCAACCAGTATTTTCAGTTAATTAGAAAATTCTCAGGTTAGAGCCTTACTTAAGCTGAAAATTCTTCCTCTCTCTCTCTCTCTCTTTCTCACACACACACACACACACACACACACACACACACACACACAGGGCTAATTAATAAAGTACCTATTTCCTGAATATAACAATTAATCTAAATTTTGTCTTTAACTATGGCAGGTATGTACAAAGCAAACCCTTATTTGTTAAAATATTCTTTGAAAAAAAATCCTTTTTGTATGTCTTTGGTTTTAAAGGGTCACCATGTTACCAACCTCGTACTAATTCATTGAGTTTAAACTTTCTTGTGTCTGATAGCCTAGAAACACAGCAAAGCACCATCCCTTAAAATTCAATATGAGAAGAACCCACAACCTCAATATTTAAAAACCGTAATAGACAGAATTAATTTTCTTTCTTTTAAATTGTAAATAGTCTGAAAAGGGAAACATCAACTTTAAATGGAAACAAGTCTTTTATCAGCCTAGATATGAATTACGCTTTTATTTTGATTGCTAAAGCATGAAGAATGTGGAAACCCAGAATTTTCAGTCCTGCAGGAGTAAAAAGGTGCTCATAGCACATGCAACGTGTACAGTGACTTATCTGTTCCATCTCTGCTTTTCTTGCTCTGCTAGTAGGGATGCCTTTGCCTTGCCCAGCCTTTAACAGGTAAAGATTAAAATTTTACAAAATAGAGGATTTTCATTTATCTACGAAAGGCTTACTTTGAAATGTGGTTTACTTCAAATGAATTACAACTGTGCCATTGATGAGTTCAGCCTATTATATTATTTTTATCAGCATTGGTGTTGACATTATAAAGTCATTTGAATAATAAAATGTCATTTGTAATTGGGCTATTGTTTTATTGAACACAAATGCTCTTAATGTTTTACACATATGACAGATATGTATTACATGTTATCAAATATATAGTGTAACTAGGGACTTCCCTGGTGGTCCAGTGGTTAAGACTCTGCACTCCCGATGCAGGGGGCACAGGTTCAATCCCCGGCTGGAGAACTAAGAACCTGCATGCCGCACAGTGTGGCCAAAAAATAATAAAGTTTTTATGTAAATCTGTTATGTAAATGTAAATCAACCATACTTCAAAAAAAAATGTATGGTGTAACTAAACTATGTTGATCTCCATGAATTGTTGGTAAGATTGACATGGAATTATTCTACTTCTACCATGCAGAAGCATTACCTTTATAGGTATAAAGGAACTGAAGAATATTATGCTCCGTATTATTCTATGGAAATAGCTATCAACAGTATTTGCAGAAGTGCTTTTGGTTTTGACTTTTAGATGAACCTGAGTTCCATATTCATGAGTTGGTGAACTTTTGGTAGAAATAAATACTACTTCTGGAGCCCACAAAATGCCATGAGTTATGAAACACAGGTAATGAACTCAGAAAGATCAGACAGTTTTTCCTAATGCCAGGGTCTACAACAGGCAGAGATTCTGGTATATTCTGTTAGTGTAAAGAAGGGATTTGAAGTATTAAAAACAGAGAAAGAAGGGGCTTCCCTGGTGGCGCAGTGGTTGAGAGTCCGCCTGCCGATTCAGGGGACGTGGGTTTGTGCCCCGGTCCGGGAGGATCCCACATGCCGCAGAGCGGCTGGGCCCGTGAGCCGCTGGGCCTGCGCATCCGGAGACTGTGCTCCGCAATGGGAGAGGCCACAGCAGTGAGAGGCCCGCGTAACCCCCCCCCAAAAAAAAAAAAAAAAACAGAGAAAGAAATTTATATCGACTAAAGGAAAACTCAGAAATCTCTTTTAATTTTTTAAAAATTTGTATAAGAATACTTTCTTTTCACAATTTGTTTCTAATCTGTTATTTCTTCTTATTAAAAAAATCTTTTTATTAGGATAAACTTAGTGGTCATACCCTTAAAACCTATTTTATAAACAGTTACTCCAACAGTTACCCTTAAGTTATGCGGCAAATTTGTATGATAGTGAATAAATAATGACCAAATGGTTCTAGAGCATTTTAATTATATATAAGTAACTCTGAGTCTCTTTTAAAAAACAAAAAGTAACAAAATTTGGACTCTATATGCCTAAGAAGTTAAATGTGAGTAACCTTATCATTATCTACCAGTTGTACATTCAGTTCTTTTCATAACGCTGTGTAATTCCTTAGGGGCTCTGGCATGTGAATTTTTAATACCTATAAATTATGATGATGAAAAAATATGCAGATCATAGATGTGGGTGTGAGGTTCTGCCATTCCCCTTGGCACAGCATCTATGGCACTTGTCTTAGGTTTCCATAACCACCTGTTAGTTCCATCCCATTTGGGTTGAATGTCACCTGTTATCTCCATGGACAGCATTTAGCACCTAATTACCAGAGAAATTGCCACTGAGCTGGGGAGCAGCTCTATCAATGTCACTTAAAGACAACAGAAACATCACTCTTTTTAAGAGACTTGAGGGCTTCCAGGAGCCTTCAGACACCTATAGAAGCAGGAGGCAGGGCTGTGGTAAGTCCAAATCACAACTATCATCTCCAAATCATTTGTTTTATCAGGAGCAGGTGTTTGTATATTTGACTATAAATATACCAGTTGCATTTTCATTTCTTTCATTCTGGAACAGCTAAGGAACTGTCTCTTTTCCCAGCCTTTCCTCACTACCTTAACTCCTCGCTACCATTCCCTCTAGGCTAGAAGGACTGTGGCTCTTTCAGCATTAAGACTAAAAAGGATTTCCTTCTCTCAACTCCTCAGGGCCCCAGCAGCTGCCTGTATGGAAAGACTAAATTTCAAGTGAGCACTGAAATGGAGTGGTGCTAGCAATGGGGAGAGTCTATAACTAAGCATTTTAATTCAAAATACACTGGTGGGTATGTAGGAAAGCCAGCTAAATGCAAGCCATCAGAACCATTTAAATAATATTAATTATAGCAATTTATCATACCTTGAGAGTGAGTTTTACTTGTGCAATAGCCCAAAGTTTATAGAGCCAGTTCTGACAAATGATTATACATAAACATAAGATGACCAGTGGTGAGTTTCTTGGTTTTATTTTTGCCTCGTGTATCTCAGACTTGGAAGCTGAAGAAACCAGCAATCAGGAAATGCCAATGTTGCAGACCAAGAAAACCCTAAGAAAAGCCTAGAAAGACGGCACATATTTAGACAATAACTGTTCTACTCCAGCCAAACACCACCACAGAAAAACCTGTGACCTCACCTGGACCTACACCAGCACAGACTGAGTGGAAAGCCTAGATTTCCACCCTCACAAGGCTATACCAAAGGGGCCCAACACCGCGGCCAGGGTGGTGTCAGAGAAAGACAGTAGGGAACTGGGGATTTCATCCCCACGGGCCAGTCTGAGGCTCCCCACCCTCACCGCACAGAGTTAGTGGAGGTCATGTAAGAAGTCTGGACTTCACCCCCATCCGTCGTCGTTGTATACCTAGACAGCAGCTTCAAAGGAAAATCAGTTCTGGTAAAATGGTAACATTTTTTTTCTTTAACTTCCTTTACCTGTTGAGTCATTTCCCTGCAAAACAGTATCTCAATTGCTGAAAATGAAGTTCCAAAGTGTACACTAAGACATAAAAGGCCAGTGAAGCAAACCAATAAGAAATGGAAATCAAGTTATTCTTATCTTCTCATCAAAAATGTAATCACTAAATAAAAGAGCTGGGGGAATTAGAAGATTTGCCTACATGGAAAAAAGTTTGAATTGACCCTCCATGTTTCAATCAAGTGTTCACTCTCTCCTCCCAGTTAATCACTGCTGTGCCTGAGCTGCCAGGAGACCTGACTCTGGGCGGGCTAGCCAAGAACCAGCCACACGGACACCTGGGAAATCTGAAGTCCAGGCTTTCTAATGTAAGAATTTCTTTGGTTGGTTATGCAGAAAAACTGTTAAATACACACATTTCAACTCCTTTGTGTCTTAATGGGGATACTAATCCTCAGGGACAGAGTCGTTTTCAACATGTTAAAGTTTCAAAAGTAGAACCACTCACATCATTGTAATAGATGTGGTTAGTAAAATGACTTTTTATTTAACACAAGAGAATATAGCATGTCTTCTAATTTCAGTAAATTAATAGAAAACTGAGACACACCAAATTTGGATATTTTACTTACATTTCCTTTATTCTTTCTCAGACTATAGGCATAGTTGAATGTTTATACAGCACACACAAAAAGTGGGTTTTAACATTTCAATATTTTTTCCTGTAAACACTAGTTCCTTAGCCACATGTCATTCTTCTGAATTTGTTCTTTTGGGAAACCACGTGACTCAAGATTTTTCTCCTTGTCTAACCCCCTCCAAAAGTATTAGTTAAGATTCCATTTTTTAAAACGTCCAGCTTTATGGTATAGCTGCAGACTGACATTTTATGTATGTTTCTCCCTTTTTTCCCACCTCTTCATGTAAAGAGCTACTGCCACAGACTTGAGTTAAAATGAATGGGATTCATACCTTATTCCAAA